CACCATGTATCGTTTTGCACCATTGCACCGCTATACAGTTTTGTAACTTCAGTAAAATATCAATATATGTCTACATTATTTAAATTCTATCAAAATTTATCTTATAGTTGTTTTTTATAAGCCATGACTTATGTTTTCTTGTAAATAAATAAATCTTTCTTTATATATTATATCTGCTGGGTTTTTGTCCATTGGGACATGTAGCCAATTATTATGGAATAGATGGATTATATATATTACACATATATAAACATGCATGGTATGATTAGTTATTGTTTATTGGATTATAACGTGTTTTACCGTAAAAATGAGATAATCTCCCACGGTAAAAAGTAGCCAATGTCACTCTCCAGACCTCCAACTATCTCCACACAAAAAATCACGCCAATCCGTCACTCTGTTTCGACATGAAAGACAACAACAAACAAACAAACTCACTTTCACATTTATAATATTACTATGAATTAACTATCTGAAGCTTGGAAGGTAACATCTGTAACCATCCCAATACGATAGTTGAGTCAGTCCAATAATAGACTTTATTGTGGATTCAACTTGAAGAAAATAAATGATACTTTCATAAAATTGTACATAACAGTGGGATTCCCTACCCCTGTCTCTTCAAACGAACCACATTTAGTCGACTAGTAACTAGTCTATACAAGCCGGAAGTTTGTCAAAATTTTACAAAATAATATCAGCGACGTGTTTTTGGACCTTGGTCAGTAAATATTTTCATTACTGTTTGTATAATTTAATAATATATTGCTATTTGTTTTCTTGACATGTATATATATAGCTAACATAACAGAAATCGGTTTTAATGACGATGTTGGCAGCAAGCGCATCTCACCGCGGCCACTTCGCCTATCTGTACGCTGGACTACGGACACTCCTATTATACGCTCAATATGATTATACGTAATTTATATATACAATCCACTACTTTATTTAAAGTCCCGTTAACGTCTATAAAAGTTGGTCTTTCGAGCCGGATCAACAAGGTGTAGGTATTAGCTTTCTCACAGACCGAGTGAGCCCAAGAACCCATTTGTGTTCTTATTGGTGTACTTTGTTGTTTGGGATGCTTTAGGATTTTGTTAGCCTTCTACAACGAATATTATTTGTGTCACTAGTATGTCAGTCTTGCGAGATATGATTGTAGATTCTCATCTTTCACTTCTTTGATTAGTATCTTTAATTCTTGTGAGGCTTTATTGAAGGCAGTCTTATCTCTATAATAGTGAGTGCTGTGCCATACTCCGCGGAGTCTACATCTTTTGCTTATACAAACATTAATGAATTTGTATAAATAAGCAAATTAGAAAAACTCAAGAAACATCATTACCATTTATTTCATTAACATTTACCATCTTTAATTCTATTATTATAAAAAACGGTAATGAAGCTATAATTATGGTAAAGAGTAAAAATAAATTGTCAGTGTAATATCATCCACCATATAGGCAGCTTAAACAAAATTAATACGTTATTAAATGAAATAGTCTAAGCCACGTGTCGCTTTGCAATATTTTTCTTCAGCCACACTGGAAATACTCGTATAATACTCGGACAACTCAAACCGTAATTATTTGCGACTTTTGGAGATTTTAAATTATCATTCCTAAATCTTTGACATCATACCATGATACATACATACAATTCTTTGACAATGCGTGAAAAAAACTCAAAGGTCGATCTCTGTTTATTTCTTAAATAATTAAGTATGTCGTAGATTAATATATTTACTTTTCATTCAATTTTTCATAAAATATAATATTAGTAAAAAATATTTTTGCATTTGCACGAAATGGAAGAACTACTGCTCGGCCCCGTGGGTAATGTAATTCTTATTGTAAGTATTGTATATGCGGAGACATCTCACACAGTATACTCTCTATTCCTTTGACTCTCAAATTCCGATTGGACGATAATTCAGTGAGAGGTCAGGTAAAGGAGGGACGGCTTTATGTGCTCTCCTAGGCACCGAAGTAAAACTTCTCAACTCCAGGCTGTTACTGGGACTTTCTTAACTAAAAGGCTGAATAACTAAAGTTGGCCCGATCCAGGGACTCGAACTCAGACCTCTAAATGTACACACGCTAGCCACTACACCACCGAGACAGTATAAAAATATGTTCTAAATAATATTGCTATAAAATACACTAAGCTTAATTAATCCCTCCACGACCGAGGACACGCCGTCGTTACAGTTAACACTTAAATTTCTAAGAAATCTATTGATCAAGTGGAGACTGTCCTGAGTGTGAGATTCAACCGCTCTACGCGGTATTTATTCAACTGTAACGCCAGCGTGTCCGCGGTCGTGGAGGGATTAGTAAGTGAAAAAGTAAAGTAATCACTAAATATAACAATGAATAGCCTTGCCAAGAAACCTATAACGTGACATCATAATATTGGTATTCCAGCTAAAATAGACATTTATCTCAACGTCAATATATCCAAAAAATATCGTAAAATAAAACCAATCAAAGTATTTCAAATCGTTTTTTTATATACATAAATAGAAAGGAAGTTTACGTTACATATCATACAATAATATACATATTTTTCAAGGAAGCAGATTAGTAAAAGCTAAAATTTTCATTAATCTATCCGGCAAATACACCACAAAAGATTGGCGTGCCTTTATACATTATGAAATGTAGGAATGGGTGATCAGCTGTAAACTCAACAATTTGAGGTGGCGGGAATACAGCTGAGAGTCTACTTATTACGATAGCTGAAAATTAAAACAAAAATTAAAACGTCAAAGACCGTAAATCTGTAGAAGAAACGGATGGGGCTATTTTGGTGAAAACCGCCGTTGGTTTAACGTGAAACGTCTATTTTAACGAGTCGCTTTTAGTGTTTAAGAATGGAATGAAAACAAAATTGACTTCGTTCTAATTGTTTTAAGACTATACTGAATAGGTAGTGTACATAAAGTTCTATCGATTAATATTGGACAACAATTATGCTAAAAATATTTTGCATATTCGAAAACAAATTAGAAAAAGTTTAAGATAGCAACGGAAAGAATATTTTTTTAAAGGGATTGTAACTTCTTTTAATATAAAAAAGCGTAGAACGAATACTGAAAGTGGAACGCTACTTTGGATTGATTAATCAATTGGCACCAGATTTTATTCAACTAACAGAACAGAGGCTAACATAATAACAAAAAAAGATAACCCCAAAAAGACACAAGTTTGCGCGTTAACCGCTAAAAGTCGCCATTTATCGTAGCTCCTCAATTTGAGGACACTCCTCTGTCTCACACTCTCTGTCTCCAAACCCAGTATTGGAATACTTGGCGTGGACATCTCGAGCAACGTCCAGTTCCGTGGTCAATTGGAAGGTAAGGCCAAACTGGCCTCAAAGAAGCTTGGTGCAACTCGCGTCAGCGTCTTATTCTATATAAGGCGCAAATTCGGCCCCACATGGAGTACTATTCTCATCTTTGGGCGGGAGCTCCCCAGTACCAGCTACTTTCATTTGACCGTATTCAATGTAGGGCGGCTCGAGTTATCGACGATCAAGCTCTCTCCGATCAGCTTGATCCTTTAGCTCTGCGTAGAGATGTTGGATCACTCTGCATCTTCTACCGCATTTATCACGGGGAGTGTTCCGAGGAATTGTTCGGACTGATCCCGGCTGCTGAATTTCATCATCAGACATCGCGCCAAAATATTAAATTCCATCGACACCACCTCGACGTCCAGCGTTCCACAACAGTGCGATTTTTAAGGCATTTTCTGCCCCGCACAACCACTCTGTGGAACCAGCTATCGCCGACGGTCTTTCCGAACCGTTACAACCTGGCCACCTTCAAGAAGAGAGCGTACTCTTTCCTTAAAGGCCGGCAACGCATCTGCAAGCCCTGCGGTGTTGCAGTTGTCCATGGGCAGCGGTGATCACTTTCCATCAGGTGAACCTCCTGCCCGCTTGCCCCCTTAGTCCCATAAAAAAACGACATGATACTTAAAAGCCGTTGATTTTGGTTCTATTATATCCTAAACATTCCTAAAAAAACTAGGAGTAGCGGTCTTTGGGATCCATGTTACAATAAATAAAGATGACTTCAGAATATTAAACTATCTTTAAAATAATTCGAAGTTGTGTGTTTAAAGTGCTTGTATAAGTCTAATTGAATAAAATTAATTTTCATTTTATTTCAATAAATACTGACATATATATTTGTGGCTTCATGATTAAATAAAGAGGTATTACATTATTTAATTTTTAGCTATCGTAATCGTACCATGATTGCTGTAAAGCATTCGAAACTTCGGGAACCAAAAATCAAAATAAATTCGCGAAAAAATCCGAAAAGATACTTTTATTTTAAATGTCAAATATTCGCGTAAATCTAAGAAAGTATTTAGCTATCGTAGTTAATATTAATATTTAATTCATATGTTGGATAATAATTTTGGTATAAAAACATCTGTACGCAAACAAAATTAGTTTTGTAAATTTTTTATTATGTTGATATCATTTTGAGATTTTTTGAGAATTGAATCTTCATAAAAAAGTCGAGAATCTTGTAGGAAGACTATTTCTTATATTATCTGAATTGACATATACCTAATTACTTTTATCTTTATTACACTTGATTGAGATACAGCAATTAACATACAACAGAATTAGTTAGCAAAGGTGGATGCTAATTTAATAAAATTAATAACATGCAACTAATTACGATAGTCGTTTAAATTATTTAATGTCAAGTAGATTTTGATTTATATTGATTTCTTGATCAATAGCTGTCTTATTAAACTAGAATTTTAAATGCAGTACCGACTATAAAATTAATATCATATATATATATATATATATATATATATATATATATAGTCTGTAGTCACGTGCTACTCATTTTGTTAATTATATTATATCAAGCTTTACTTTTTATAACACTTTAAACAAATATGCTATAAATAAATGAAAATAGAAAGCAAAAAGTAAGATGTAAAGTGACATTTAAAACATTTCTATCCAGCAAATATTCCACCAAATATAGGCGTTCCCTTATATAAAATGAAATATACGAAAGGATGATCTGCGTTGAATTCAATAGAAGGGGCAGGTTGAGCTGACGTTACACCAACTACGATAGCTGAAAATAAATAATCATTTTATCGAACCTGCCAATATGCCTATGGGGCCTGGAATTCGGTGGATACTCGAGTTTTACATCTCTGATATTTTTTAAAATGATTACCACTCGCCTTACGGCGAAGGAAATGCCTCGTGATCAAACTTGCATGTCTAAGAAAACCTAATATTTTGTTTAGGGACGATATGTCGAGTTCTCCGCCACTCGGCCAGCATAAAGGGAGCTCCATGTCCAGCATGGAGCTGGCTAAGGGCTAAAGTAATTAGAGCTTTTATTATTTGATTTAAGAAGAAGAGGGTGTTATAACTTGTTTATACCTATTTCTGTCTCTGGAATTATATTTTCCAAACAGACACAACAATTTTCTTAGAATATATTTAAGTAAAACAATTCATTAAGACTAACCAGTTCCTGCAGCAGCCTCTGATCCAAATTCATTTACCGTGATAGTAGCTTTTTGTAATGCAGAAGTGACAAAAGGCTTTATTGTAGGGTCATCACTTATACTATTTAAGTTTGCAGTGCTTGAATCAAAAATCGCCGAGACATTTAACTAAAGAATAAAATATTACTTTATAAATTATTTATTAAAACTTTTTTTTTGTCATTGCTTAAAGTGAGATAATGTGACAAGCTTCTAACTAAACTTTCAAATCTAGAAGACATAAACCGGTATGATGATATCTGTAAATTAAATCGGAAAAAATCTCTTATAAGGATGCATATAAATGGAGCGAGCCACTACTTTTCATATACGTTTTAACGATTAGTATGGAATATATCTTCCGCACTGTAATTACTTATATACACATTGATTAATATCTGGTTAAGTAACACCCTAATCTTAGCTAATCTACCACTTACTTTTCAAATGATGGCAAAGACCAAAAAATAAAACAAAATAATAAATAAAATAAATGTATACCTTTTGAAGCACATCTTTCAAATCTGTTGTTGTAGTAGTGTCTATAGTAGGCAAAAAAAGATTTACCCTGTTCAGTTCTAACTTACTAATTGCATCCTGCAATACTGAATTGGTCTTATTTCTTAGTTGCTCTAATACCTTACTTAGTCCATCTTTCAATTTCGGCAGAAGTACTAGGTATGAGAAATTACTATTTACATATGGTAGCTCAATGACCTGTAGACGAACAAAACAACGTAACGAGTAAATTAAATAAGAAGTATTTTTGATTAATTATAATTATTTACACGCATACATTTTTACAGATAATAGCAGCTCCAGGTGAAATCCATTTCGTCGTCATCTCTGTGACATCTCCAGTAGTTGTGAATCATCATCTACGCAACCCCCGTTAAATTATAGCGAAAGTTCGATTATAAATAAATAAGGTACTGATAATAAACATAGGCACAAGCTTAGTATATGGAACGCGGCCCCTGGAGAAGTGGCTGGTATTTTTGGATAGGGGAGGTGATAGGTAGTTCAAATATATAAAAATTATTTTGAGGAAACAAAGGAGTCAAAAGTTACGGAGACTCAAAGTTAGAACATTTCCATACATTTATATACCTAAATAAGTCATTACAAAAGATAAACGAACGAAAGGTAAACATTCTTTTTCGTGTAAAATCCATATTTTCATAACAATTAGGGCTTTATTGTATTAATATTTTAATAATTTCACTAAGAACAATAATTTAAATAAAATAATTTTAAATTTTGACAAAACTGTTAATTTCTGTTTTATATACCGCTTTTGGACAACAGATTATCGCTTAATAATTTTATTTATGGTACTCAATGATAAACGAGCAGACAGTCCACCTGATGGAAAGCGGCACCTGTCGCCCATAACACCTACGGTTCATGCTCTTAGGGTTTACGTAACAAAACTGCAGAACTGCCGGTACGTTGTCACTGTGTGGACGAAGACAATATGCCTCTTCCCTGTAATTCCGCTGGCTACCTTTTCCTTCAAACCGGAACACAACAATGCAATCATTGTTGCTTGGCGCGAGAAATAGATAAGGGGGTGGTACCCATCCAGTCGGACTCCTCAGGCTTGACAGAGTCCTACCACTGGTAGTAATTAGTTAAGAGTTATTCTGATTTTATCATCTGTGAATACTTTTCAGTATTTTTGGCGGGTAGTCACAAAATACCGCAAAGTTCGATAGTTTATGTGAATACGATCTGTACTCATTAAACGCGTTAGGTTTTCATATTTTTTGCTATTTTTCATAGTTATGTTTCTCATATTATTTTCCAGTAGTTATTAGTTTTTGTTAATTTTCGTATATATTCGTTTCTAGTTTCTTTTTGTTTTAATAGTATTACTATAGTTCTAAGTGTTCTTAGTGTTTTAAGTGTACTCGGGCAGTTTATAAACGTAAGTGGACTATTTTTTTAATCAAGTGTATTATTTATTCTCGTAAGGTCCGTTTTTAATTTCAAACCCAGAATCCCTGCTATCATTAGTGCTTTATGTTAATTTATAATTCAGTGATAGATCTTTCTCATTATTTGAAGATCTACGTAATTACAAACTAGGCCAAACGTGTCGCTTCTTGAAGATACCCTCGGACAAAGACTATGTTTTTAATTTCTTTATATTAATTTCTCTCATATGTGATACTTAAAATGATCGAACTTTGTACACGTTACCTGAACTCCCTGGCTAGGTATATCTGCATACTTGAATGATTCAATTTGGTTCATCATATTCACTGTAACATTTTTATTTTCATTCACGTAAAAATCACCTTTTTTGGTATTTTCTGTTTTAAATAGCTTTTCCCATGTTCCCTGTAATATAATTACTTGAGTCATTTTCTAAAAAATTTCATCAATTTAATAATTATTTCATCTATGAAAAATATTTATTTCCTTGAAAATATTGATGTAAACATAGAAATATAATTAAAGTTGTAAAAATAATATAAGTTTTACCTTGAAATAAATAGCATTTACGAGAACTACAATGGTATTTCTACTTAGAGAATCAGGCGGTACTAAGTCTGTAATCAAATTGTTTGTTTTATTTGCCACCTACAAAATAAATGTTAATTTCAATATAACTTCTGAAGGTTTTGAAATATGCTATATAATAAAAGAACAAACTTTAAAAAACATGATCCTTCCTTATGTGATATTACAAATACTTAAATAAAATATTTATTAAATTTTCACATAAATTATGCTTAGACGTGATATGTTTTATTAATAAAATATTTCATTTAATTAATCCATATAAACTATACATATAAGAAAAGTGTAATTGTTCGCTGTCTGTACATGAAAGATATTTCAAAAAACTATTATTATTGGGGTTCTTTATTAACGAAATAGAATCCAAAACAATGATTTTTTGATTTTTTGTCTGTGTGTGTTATGCGCGCTAAACTCTGAAACTATTTGGATGCAGTTTTCACTAATGTATTGTAGAAAACTTCACTTAACATTTAATATTTGTTTTATTTTAATCGGTTCATAAATGAAAAAGTTATGTCAATTTAAAATCACCTGTTATGGATACTAGATAATTGATACACTACATATATGTATATAACTATAAATGCATACATGTTATAAATATAAACACACATTGCTGGAGTATAAACATTCGTGCTTATCACACAAATAAATGTCCCCAGCGGGACTCGAACCCACGACCGTTGGTACAGCAAGTAAGGTTACTACAAACTGAGCAAACATGTCGTCATAAATACAATTTATAATTTATAACATTCAATAAATACAGTTTATAAACATATAAATATAGGTATAGGTTCTTTTAAATTTTAAACCTTTTACCTATATAAAGTTTAAATTTTCCTTCTCGTAAAAATTAATAAAGTTTATTTACCCATTGATTTATGATGTCCGCTGCTTCAGTGGGATTACTAAAATTAACATTTTGCGCTTCAGCAAAAAATATATCTCTAGTGTCCTTTTCAAAACATGGATTTAGTTTAAACTCAATACTAGCATAAATTCTTTCAGCTAAACTAAAAGTGGCATTTTCTTGAGAATTAAGCTCAGTCAAATAGTAAGGAATTGTAGATCGTATCTGCATAAAAAAAAATCAAATGACTTAGACTGTCTTTTTTCCTGCAAATAATGTTGTATTTCAGAGATACCATTGAAACTTATTTATTTTTTATAGTTTCTGTATACTTACAGAAGATTTACTAATATTTAATACAGATAAAAGCTCATCCAATGAAGTGCCCGATGCATAAAGTGCTAATTGAGCTAGCAAAAATAATAAACTAAAAGGTGAATAAATGGCGCTAACTTCTGGGTCTAATTGAGAAGCAACCTAGAAAAAAAATGCACCTTATATTAATATTTTTTTCAAGTAAAAAAACAACATTCAAACAATATATTATAAACTAGCGACTCACCCTCGCTCCGCTCGTACCTAGTTACGTTTTAATATAGATTTCTCAGAGATGGGATATTTTTCCGCAGTAAAAAGTATCTTGTATGTTGACCCGGATAACCAGCTATAATCATACCAAATTTGATCCGAATCTGTCCAGTGGTTTTCTCGTGATGCGTTCCCAGACTGATAGACAAACAGAAAAAAATTCTAAAAACTATAGATTCGGCCTCTATATCGATAATAATGACAATTTCAATAAAATATTCCAAAAAATATTAAATGTACTGATTCGACTCAGTTAGAACTTCATTATATGTATCGACAAAAGGTAAAATTTTCTGCATTTCTTAATACTAACATCCAGGAAAGATAATTTAAGATATAAGATTAATATACTAACGTAGATAAAAGATTCAGTGAAATCCACATTGCCTTCAGTAAACTTCTGCACACCATTGTCATTGTCCTCATTATTATTTTCATCATCCTGATCACAATTTTCTAAAGAAAAATCCAGATGTTATAATTAACTTAGTTACTGTCTTTATACCGAAATCAAAAAAAATATTACGTAAAGGTAAAACCTTCAAAATTACTTAAAAGTAAGTACTTAATAAATAAATATGTTGGGACATTAACACACAACACCATCTAGTTCCATGATAAGCTACGAGGCCTGTGTTCTGGATACCAGATACTTGATACGCTACACATAATTAAATAACTTTAAATACATACATATTATAAATATAAACACCCATGACTGGAGTACAAACATTGGTGCTCATCACACAAATGAATGGCCCCAGCGGGACTCGAACCTGCTTACGCTGGCACAGTGAGTAGGGTCACTACAAACTGAGCCAAACGTGTCGTCTTAGGATTGTCAGATTCCATTCACAATAATTGGCGAAGTTATCGTGTAACATACGCAGAAAAAATATCGGCTAAAATCAGCACCTTCTCCGTTTTTATGTCGGGAGTATAATAAAAATAATAGCGAGAGTTCATTTTAATTTACCGACCAATCTCTTTCATATTATCTTCTCCATTGTACGTGACATTGGCCAAGTAAACTATGCTCAACTGGCACGCTTTGAAGCCATTAACAAGAGAATTGAATAAAATTAAATAGCGATAGCTCAATGTTCTACTTATTTACCGACTTCCAAAAAGGAGGAGGTTCTCAATTCATCGGAATCTTTTTTTTATGTATGTTCACCCATTACTCGAAGATGCCTGAACCGATTTGGATTTCTTTTTGTTTCAAAGGGTATACCTCCCAGGTGGTCCCATAAAAAAATTATCGAAATCGTCAGAATCTTTTTTTATCGAAAACGTCTACACTAAAAATGGAAAAATAAAAAGTAAAAAAAAACCGACTTCCTGGCACTAAAATGTAAAAAATAAATAAACGGAGGTTTTTATTTAGAATAGATACTTAATCAGATATCTTCGAAGTCGGTGCCATTCGACAATATTTTAAAATATGAATATCTAATAGGTAAATATGTATTTTACGTATCCATATATATTAGATTTGCTTTGGATCATATCTTCTCCGCATCTGGCTAATTTCAGTGAGATTGGGCGCCGTGGCCAACATCGGTCAGTAGGATATTATTTAATTAATTCAATTACACTTTATAATATTATAATATAATACATAAACACACAAAGAAAAGAAAGACACAAAGTGTACAGAAGGCGGCCTTATCGCTAAAAGCCATCTCTTCCAGGCAACCTCGTGGTGGAGGAGTAAGTTTTAGAAGTACTGTAGGCGGTGTATTCGAACACTCTAATAGATACATATAAATAAATTTTATATAAAATAAATAGATACGTATACATGTAAACAAAAATCAATATATACTTGCAAATATACATACATACATACATATGTACATATACATACTTAAGTACATATGGAGGAACTCATAAGAAAAGATTATTATAATATTTTAGAGAAAAAGTACATCGTATACGTGTACAGAATTATAATGATTTCAGAATGCTGTTGGGGCTGCCTCGCTTCGTAGGGCGTCCCAGGTGTTTGCGGAGGCTTATACCGATGGCTTCTACGATATAATGAGGAAATCAGAAATTTCAGCGTCTGTGATGAGAAAAGTGTGCGAGAGCTCTAACAGTATTCTGATAACATTATCAGATAAAAGGGAAAATTCTTTTAAAAAGCATTCAGTCACCATGCGTATGTTTCTCCAGAGCCCGATGAAATATTTAAATTGAATAAAGTAATTAAATTTATTATGTAATACTAAAATAGCCAATTTAAATAATTTAAGTAATTAAGATTAGTATTTGTTCGGTTAACATTATTCATATTTTTTAATTTTGTTTTTAAATGAACAAAAAATTTTCTGCATGAATTTTGGCCTTTAAATTATTGCCTTACATTATAAATTAAAATAATTAAGATTTTTTTAAGTAATTAAAATTCTAATTAAAATAAAATGTTATAATTAAATCAATACAAAATTCAATTATGTCTACTAAATTTTTTTTTTACTAACATTTACGTACGGATGTAATATCTCGAAATAAAGGTTTTTTTATTATTATCATCTATACATTAGTATAAATTATAATTTTACGATGACTTATCGTCGCTTCGCTTGGGTCGTCCCAAGGTACGTTTTATATTTTTTGAGCGGAACCCTAATTTTTTTTCTAAAATAAAGTAACCTAAGTTACTCATTATAAGAAATAATTCATCAGTCATCTATTTACCAGTGAACGTCCAGTTAAAATCAGTCCAGCCGTTTTGAAGATTAGCCAGAACAAACGAAAAGACAGCCAGACAAAAAAAAATATTTTTCATATAAGAACCGTATAATAATTTCATATGTATTTAGTAAAAAAACTGTTGTTTTGACATCACAAACAGACACGTCAATCTTATTTATCTGTATAGATATAGATTGCAGCACGTGCATTAACATCGTATTGTATGAAAAAACTATTAATTTTATACTGCTTACCAATAAAATGTTAATGCCCTACCTATATGGAAATGTTTACTATTATATTTTATGGTATATTTATTTTTTGAGATAATTTTATATATATACCACTATACTAAAGGCAGATTTAACGAACAACTTTAAATATGTAACTACTAATTCTATTGCATCGTAAAAATTCCATTTTTTCTCTAACGCGCCAAAAGAAGCATGACTTCAAAATCTTAAGAGTAATGACGTGACAATAATAAAAATAGCTTACTTGGACATTTATCAAATGGTATACATGTTTTGTTGACATCGCGGGCATAGCCTTCTTCACAGTAGCACATTTCCGTTCGTTTAACATTTACAAACGGACAATTAGTTTGATTTTGTTTACTTAGTTTTGCACATTCATTGTCGCAAGGGGTTCCGAAGCCAAAATACTCATTTGTACCCGTACATGTCACTGTAATAAATTATTAATTATATTATTTGTTGAGAAAAGTAGAGTTGAAAAAATTTTAGACAGCTATTTTAACTATTGTTTAGAATTTTTTTTTTAAGATAATTACGTGGGAAACTCACATTATTTTATGTAACATGAGAATAACGTAAGAAAAAGATGTTTATTTTTTATATACATTTTCAATGACGCAGTAACCTTAATGCGAATGAATATTAGATTAATTTATCAAATTTCACACATATTTATATATTCAAACTAGCATTGGCCGCGGCTCCGCCCCCCTTCAGATGACCAAAAACCAAATTCTTAGGTTTTACATATTAGTATACTCTTACATTGCAGTTTTTGTATTTTTACTCAGAAATGAAATATTTTCCCGCGGTAAAAAGTATTCTATACGTTGACCCGGATAACCAGCTATCACCATACCAAATTTCATCAAAATCTGTCCAGTGGTTTTCTCGTGATGCGGTAGCAGACAGACAAACATTCTAAAAACTATAGACTCGGACTCTGTATCGATAATAATTTCTATTTCAATTAGCTTTTCCAAAAAATATTTAATTCACAGATTCGACTTAGTTACAATTTTATTATATGTATAGATGACGTTAAACCTCTTCCAAAGTAATAGAAACATTTTATACAGGATGAATTTTTGAAGGGGGCGTGTAAGGCCAAATCCGAAACTATGAGGAATAGCGAAAAGTAAAAAAAGTTAAAAAGGGCTGTATACAATACTTACAACATTGTTGCTTTGATATACAAACACCAACTTTATTTCTATAGTAATCAGGCTTGCAGCGACATGCTGGTATACATACGGTTGCCTGCGGAGGACACTTATAATACCTTCCGATGCTTTCGCAAGTTTCTGGTGGACAAGTAGATTCGCAGCCCGAAACTTCATTTTCACCAGTACAAATTTCTATAGAAAATAATTTGTAAATAATTAATATAATATTTCATTTCAAGGTCAGACTACTATTATTAATGTGAAAGTTTGTATGTTTTTAGCGGTTGTTGTTGGTCGTGACGAGAGAAAACACGAATGAAAGTCTAAATATCGTCACTTGATAAAATAATATATTGTAAAAGTCAACACACACGTAAAAATAGTTCAGAAGGAGAAGTTTAGGAAGATACACAGTAATACACACGTTAGAAGTACAAACACAAGAAGTCCACATACAAAAACTAACGAAAACGATTAAATAATGTAAAACTAGTAAGTAGCATCAGCTGGTAAGGCGTCGACTGTCGTATGTTAGAAAAATCATTATTGGCCGGTAGGAGACAAATAAATTCCGTTCCGCCGTATACTACGGGTTTCGCGCGGCTATGCTTGTGAATAAAAATAAATATGAATAAATATTAATTTATAAATATAAATAATTAAATATTTGTATTGTATGAATGTAGGTGTATGTTTATATGATATTAATACGTAAATTAAATATTAAATAAATTATAAATATTATGTTTTGGAAAGTTAATATATAAATATGATAAACTAAATATATTACGTATAAGTCACCTACATGTTGAATGCTTGTTTTTCTTTCTCACTGAAACTGCTGACGATTTGGATGATGGACCTAGATGGACTTGGGCCTTGATATGACCTGGCATTACATATGGGCTCCTGTTAAAATAATGTCCGACAAATGTTTAGCCATGGCGACTAATCTCATTGAGACTAGCAATCTAGCATCTCATTATTGTGCAAAAGTATGTGCACAAACACAAATGCACTCTCCATATTTCTGTCCCTCTTGTACTCCGGTGGAACGACTACTCAGCACGACCAGTGAAAGTCAAGGCGCAGGACCGACGGCTTTACGTGATCTCCGAGGCATGAGGTGAAATACCGCCAAGTTCTTGACAGACGTATTTGTTGGTTTATATAAAAACAATATTATGATATGATTTAATAGCCCGATAGCTCGTGACGAATTTTGGGAAGGTCCTTTTGGCAAATTGAAATTGTGAAAAAATATAATTTCCTGAATTGGCGAGTCCAGTCCCGCGAGTCTGGTATAGCTTTAGCGGTTATTTCGTTACTGCGCAGTATATTTGCAAAAAAATATCCAAAAAAACATATTTTTGGCAACTTGATTTTAGTTTAATCTTTTAATTTAGTTTTCATATAATTCAAAAAAAAGAACCCCAGACGTTTTTGTCGGTTATAAAATATTGCTAGACCTCTCCAAAGATGTTTTATTAAAATTCCCAAAAAATATACTTTTGTCAATTAAAATTTTAATCGCGTATTTATTGAGTAATTTTCAATAATAGTTGCAAATTTCCAGGCGAATTTACTGGTTTTAAACCATTCCCAGACGTAATTACCCTTCATGCGCGAGTCCTAAATTAAAAGATTAAACAATAATCGAGTAGCCAAAAATATATTCGCCACTAGCCACCTAGAGCCGCACCCAACCGAAGCGAATTTAACTTTAAGACGTCAATTCAAAAATAATGTGTATAGAATTTATAATTGTATATTTCAGCAGATTTTGAAGCATGCCGCTTTGTTTTGAAACAGCGAGTGTAAAAATAACATTTCGTTTATATAATGAATTAATTAGTAATATTTTGTTATTATAATGAATTAATTAGTAATAAATATTTTTAAGTAATTTTGAAGTCGGTGTAACTTTTATTTTCAGAGTATTTCAATGTCTATTTATGAAAATAAATAAATTACTTACATAATATAATAAAACTGTATATATATGTAAAAAATAACGTATTTAATACGAATAATGTTTACGTTTTGTAGTACCTTCATTTATGTTATTATTTTCATTTTCATTGTTGCTCCCTGCGTAAGCGGACGCGCTGGCGCCGCTTGAATTTGATAGTGATGAGCTTCATGCTGATGATGAAGCACGAGAATATGACGAAGAATCTGTAATAAGATAAGAAAATAACATTCTGGTAACATATAATTAAAGTAGTTCTTAAATCTAAATGTAATTGTTCTAACGTAATTTTTATTATTTTATTATTGTAGTGATGTATGTCAGGTAGAGAGTAGTAGTAGAAGAGTACTATACCTAACCCCCACCTCCAGTTTATTGTTAGTGGGTAGTACTTTAATAGCCGGTGAGTCCAATTTAACCACGTATGTATGCAGGTAGTATGACAAAATGCATTTCTCATGCAAGTAGTAAAGATAAATTCATTCAACTTGCTATAAAATTCAAATTGCTATATAAGTAAAAAAGCAATACGCACTACAAGTTTACATAATGATACACAAGCTTGCCCATGCTAGTTACTAATTTGCGAATTACTCTAGAAGCGAACGCTAGCATGCCAGCTGGCAAGTATTGTACCTTCTTTAATAATTTATTTTAACTTCTTCGTTCACGTAGCTCGCTAACACCGTCTTCCACACACACAAATCTCCGTCTTGAATCTCCCTATCGTTCGTTCCTTTCTCTCCCATACCTTTTGTCCCTTTCACTCACTCTTACATTCCATTCCCCACATATATGTAATCTATTATATATCAGTAGTGAGAGTGAAACATTATTTAAGTGAATTTTAATATATCCATTCTTTCTGACATTGGCAAAGTAATCTGTGCTCAACTGGCAAGTTTTGAAGCCATTAACAAGAAAATTGAATTGAATTGATATTTACACCCGTAGTGAAATCAATAATAATTGTAGTACATTATGTACGTTACACGTATATATGTACCTCCAGTTACACGTATGCTACGGACAAACATAAATATTACACAAATTATTTGGATCTTATACTAAACATTCAACAACAAATATTCTTTGTTCTTTTTTTTTCAATATTCAATCTGACAATACAATTTCTTATTGATTTTTCATAAGGAATGGAAAATAATATATTGGTAAGTATTACCTGTTAAATCACATGTCACAAATAAACCAATTAAGGATATTAAATAAAATGTTTTCGCCATTTCGAAAGGCGTTATAAACGATAATAACTATAAAAAACCTGTATCGTCAATTTAAACCGTTTTTAGCACTTGTTTAAACACGATATTTCATTTAATGGCTAATATTATATTATTATAATTTGTTATTGTACATGATATTTTGTTTTCATACTTACAAATCCGTTTAGCTTTACTTAAGATTTTCAATTCAATTTTCTTGTTAATGGCTGCAGAGTGTGCCAGTTGAGCACAGGCTCACTTAAGATTTGTTAAGTTTTTATAGCACGTATTATATTATTATTCTGCCGGTGGTTGAAAGTGACAGGGATAGTGCACTCTGCACTAGGGTTGCGCGCTTACACCGCCGACGCCGACAATATTTTAAGATATGAACATCTAATAGGTAAATATGTATTTTACGTATCAAAATATATTAGATTAGCTTTGCATCGACTGGCACCGGCTTCGAAAATATCTGGTTAGGTATCTATTCTAAATGAAAACCCCCGTTTAGTTATTTTTTACATTTTAGTGCCTGGAAGTCGGTTTTATTTTTAAGTTTTTATCTTTGTTCATATGTACATCTGTTTTATTATCTGTTTAAGGATTTATATATCAATAGTATAATAATTAATAGCAGTAAAAAAAGACTCGCAAGAATTAAGAAACTCCTCCTTTTTGGAAGTCGGTTAAAAATATTAAGTCATAATAATATTAAAAAGCGATTTAAAAAGATGGAAATATGTTGGTGAAGGGACGTAACATGATGCAGTCGGAGACATTCATGTTTTATCTTTGCTACGAGTCTTATAGTGTACGTATAAGTGGGATGACACTAAAACTTCGAGATATTCCTTGCATATATTCTTATTTATATTAAGTACTTTTGAAATAGCAACTTAATTTTATTATAATTGTCAGTATGTCTGTCCGTGTGGAAGCTACCACCGGCACGGAAAGCAGTTCTGTCGAGAAGAGGCGGCGAGAAACGCAACAGTTGCTCATTTAAATAATCAGTACCTGGGCTACCGAGCTTCGCTCGCTGTTTTTGGCCTAAAGTATAATTTTCTTTTTTTCTTAAAACTAAAAACTTGAATAAATATTTAAAAAAACTAAACTAAAATCTTTGTATGCGACTCAGATTCGAACTTGGACACCTGTGATTGTTGATCTTGCACTTTGGCCGCTTGACCACGATGCTTAGGCCCGAACGTGCAAATTAACGACCATATTTTGCGTGGAATAATGCAAAAGAAAACTGCATGAAAATTCGAAAACACGCGTTTTCTCAGACATAAAACTAATCTTGATCGATTTATCGCCCCCGAAAACCCCGTATGCTAAATTTCATGAAAATCGTTGGAGCTGTTTCCGATATATATATATATATATATATATATATATATATATATATATATATATATATATATATATATATATATATATATAATATATATATAATCTGAATCTGCTCGTTTCAAGATATAAGATTTACATATTTAATATTAACAAATTAGAATATCACAAACAATGCAAGGTTACACATTACAAGGTAATACCGACAGTTTTTTTGCGAAAACTAAAGAATATCCGCGTACTTTTTATTTTTGAGGTTATACTTCTTTTGGCGCGTCAGGGAAAAATGATGATGGTGATTTTTACGATGCGACAGAATTAGACTAAAGTATAAAGCTCGTCGATATTAGACTACAATATGAAATTAGTCGACAAATCTCCTTTTAGTATAGAGGTATGCGTAAATTTATTACCCAATATTAAAAATGAAAAAAAAAAGGAATTGACAGGTAGTAGTAAAGTAACAGGTAGTAGTAGTAAAGGAGTAGACAGTAGTATTAAGGTTATTTATTAACGGTTTATTCTAAGAGTATCCCATGTGACGTCCGTCCCGAATGTTAAGGTGGTCGTATGCACTCTTTTGACGGGGCCCTACATATATAATGAGTTATCCTTGAGGTTCGTGGTCCCCAAGTACTGATGACAAAATCATTAGACGATCTAAAGTGTTGAGGAGTGTATGTTGTAAGAAATCCACAAATCAAACCAAATCTAAACCAAAAATGTATGAAAAACAAGACGTGTTAAATGATACAAGTGCTGGGGTACATCTATAAACTTTTAACTTTTGTGGTTTTGGGATTTGGTTTGGTTTGGTTTTGGGTTTTATGATGGTATGCAATTTTTTTTGCGATTTTAGTGCAGTGATTTTACATGAACTTGATCCTTCAAAAACAATTAAGATGAGCGCGTGGACTGTCAAGTGGTTAGTCGTCTTTTACGACACCCTCGGAATGTAGAGTTGGTGACTTTCAGTATTCTCAATCCGTCACCACACGGACAGTTGCAATTAGTAGTTGTCGAACTGAATCAGATAGGTGTACCTTCTTACAGACATTTTTACTATCATTTCCGAAATCTCGAATTGCTAAAATTATGGATTTAGCCATTAGTCACATGGCGAACATTGAACGAACAGAACAAAATAATAATGCCAATGAAGACGGCTATGGGTATCATGTAAGAAAACTTATTGAAGGATCGCTGCCAGTAGTAGTGAACCTATATAAAGTCCAGTCCCTACTATCCACGAACACAAAAATTCTGAAAAATCTGCAGAGAATTTAACAGAAATGGTTATTAACAGTTATAATAAGACAAACGAAATGAATGACAAAGATTCCAAAAACCCTTACGGATTCATCCAGCTATGGTGATTTTGTGATGCGCGACATGGCCACACCACCTCAGAAGATGCTCTTCAACTGAACTTGACTGTGACGTGAAGCTCCGGAGTGTGTTGAGATAGCGCTGCCCAGCACTCTCCTCCGTATAAAAGGACTGGTCGGATGATGCTCTTATTTATCTGTTCCTTGAGCTTGGGCGGTATTCTGCGATCACAAACCATACCTGTGATCTCCAGCTTCCCTTATACACGCTTAAACGTCGTGATCGATGCTTTCTGAATTTCTTTGATTTAACGGCTGGTTCAAGCCATATATGGATGGTGCTGGAGTTCGGACTCCCGCAAGCCATATACTCGGACTTCGTGACATTTAGTTTGACACCGCCGTTCTCAAGCGTACCCTTCCACAGGTTCACCCTACGCTCCAGCTCTACACGGGTCTTATCGACGAGCTATATCATCGGCATACATCATCAGCAATGGAGACAACAGCTAGTACTACGTTGAATAAGAACGAACAGTTCTGACCACGGAACCACCGCCTTTTTATCTAACTTTTGTGAAACTATATTAGTTCCCATTGAGAATAGTTAAGTTACATTCGTATTCTAAAATGATGGTGATAAGATTTCAATTTACCGCTCTTAAGAGTTTTGATAAAACTGTGCCTTATTTGTAAGTAAATTATTGATTTTGAAGAAGTTTAATAAATGATGATTGTTTTTCTAAAACTTGTATTTATTTACACAATAAATATGCATTTTAGTGAGGAGTATAACTTGAGTTGTATTATTTAACACATATTTCAAAAAGCCTAGATTTTAGCAAAGTGATACAATTCAGCTAAAATATGAAAATATATAGTAGTATATTTATCATATGTTTGAGCGACATTGCGCTAGGAACATATTCCAACGAGTTATAAGATATTTTTACTTCATGTATATCAATTTACACAGCGACAACTTATAGGTGCAACATAATTTAACTGTACTTGTACCATTTATCACGTAATTTTAGCATGTACTAGAAATAAAAAAAGGTACAACTCACAGGTTTTTCAATAATTACTTTAAAACTATAATATTTACCAGAAAAATTTAAATGCACAGTGAAAGTGAATATTTTTACCTACAAAATAAGGTACTCAAGTTTAATCTAGCCCACTTAGAACGCGAACTAGAATTTTTTTAAACTTGCTTTTGCTCTCCTGTAAAATGTAGATTTTTGACTTGTATCACTTGTCACAGGAGGCACAGAAATGATTTATACTTACATCGTTATCGTAACAAACTAGTCAAATATAAAAATTTTCCATTAAAACGCTCATATAGAAAAAAATCGAAATTACACTGCCTCCGACTGTACGAGTATAATACTCGTACTATGAAAAAAAACCGTATATCATAGTATGTACATATGATGTAGCAAATCCATTTGAAGAACAGGACCTCCTCCGTAGCGCTACTTTTGTATCAC